GAAATACACAAGAGGGGTTGCAAGAGACACACTAAAGGGGGTGTAAGAAACAAAGAGGCAAGACATTCAAGCACTAAAGAGGGTAAGAAATTCAAAAGGGGGGCTACGAGACACAAATGTGAAGATGCATTTTTTTTGTCGGAGAGGGGGGGATAAGGGGGAAGGGGGGCAGCAAACTGCATCTTCACCTGTGTAGCCAAAAATCCTTGCACCGGCCCTGTCTGAAAGTAACACTTGCAGTAACATTTTACCTCTAAATGTTCTAACCATTTGGCCAGTATAATGTAAAGTTTATATTTTATGCTCTTTAAAGCACAAACACATAATTTATTTTTCATGACAAAATTGCACTTTAAAACAAACAAACTACAACATTGTATAACTAAATATAAAGCAGATCTGATGAAATCACTCCTTGAATTTTTTCATAATGGTTTAATAAAACGATTTCAAACTATTAAACATTAAAGAATATTTTAATGAGTTTATATTTTATGCTCTTTAAAGCAAAATCACAATTTATTTTTCATGACAAAATTGCACTTTAAAACAAACTACAACATTGTATAACTAAATATAAAGCAGATCTGATGAAATCACTCCTTGAATTTTTTTTATAATGGTTTAATAAAACTATTTCAAACTATTAAACATTAAAGAATATTTTAATGAGTTGATAGTTCTTGGAAGTTTATAAGCCCCGGAGATGACTTGATGACAGGTGAAACCTGCTTTGGTACGAGGACTCATCAATGAGCTGTAAAGTGAAATTGTTTTCGGCTGTATTTTTGATCTTTTATATTAGCACAGTCCAACTTTTTCTGTGAGGTGTGATGGATTTTTTCTGGCCGACAAATCGGGGCACCTGGGAGACAAACGCATAAATCAGCATTGGTGTCACGCTACCTGCCCACTTCTGCGTTGTCTGAACAGTTTCACATCTTTCTGGCGTTAATAGTGACGCTAGACGCTGCATCACAGCTTCAATTCATGAAGCTGTGTCCATGCATCAAAATAATGAAGCGGGCTGTGTGATGTTATCTCGTTATTAATACTCAGGCACGCTCTGGGTGAGTGGGAATGTTGCAAGCAGTGTCATTATCACGACACCTGTGTAAATGCCATTCTAAAGGGCATCTGGTAGGGCTCCCTCTAAGCCCCACAAGTAAGTAAAAACTAAACAAAAGAGGAGATACGGTTACGCCAAAACAGAATAGACAAGTATAGTTACAAATATATAAAAAATCTGATATAAAAAATAATAATAAGTCCAATAAAAGTCCCCATAAAACTTGCCTGAAGATATAGCCTCAAATATGTCCGGAATAATTCTTCTAAAACAGTGTCAGATCATGGTATTCATCCGTATGTAAAAACAAAAGGAAAAACTAATAGTGCAATATATCCCAGAGATAGATAATACCAGTGTAAAAAGTCTAATATAGTCCTACTCACGTTTTTAAGAGCTTATAACCAGCTCTAGTTTGAATAGCGTGCAGTGGTACAATCCCCACTTAGAGATAAGTGATGATATGTTGTTAGGTAGATGTTTCGTCAATATTATATATATATCATAAAAGAAATGTAAAAGAGACAACAATAGTGCTCACTGTGTAAAAAAATGCCAGGAGAATGAAATAATAAATGGTTACTCACATTTTGTAGAGCAGACAAACTGCTCACTGTATAGGGCGTAAGTGGTATCTTTAGGAGTAATCCTCACTGGAACATAAAATGGATGCCAGGTAGAAAATAAAAGAACAAATAAAAAAGTAAAATGGCACACTTGCAAATGGAAGTAGCCAAAATACCTTTATTAAAACAGTATAAAATATCCACAGCAGTAAACTTTGTCTATTCTGTTTTGGCGCAACTTTATCTCCTTTGTTGTTTTGATGGCTGTATATACTGCTTAGAGGATTAAAGAGAGAGAATTGTGTCAAGATTTTAAGGTATTATTTGTTAGGCATGTGCATGGGGAAAATTGTCGGTTCGGTTCAGCATTCCGAAATTCGGGACTTTCGCAATTTGGGACTTCGGCAATTCGGCACTTAGGAACTACAGCAACTTCAGCACTTCAGCACTTCGGCACTTCAACACTTCGACACTTCAGAAATTCGGCAACTTCGGAACTTCGGAATTTGGGGACTTCGGCACTTCGGGACTTCAATTGCAGCCGCTTAGTAGATAACTCCCTAATTCACACGGTATTAGGGAGTTATCTACCAAAAGGCTGAAAGACCTAAATTGGTCTTTCAGCCAAATTTACTAATTTACTAAATTTAGTAAATTTTGCCCCTACTCACTATACCGCGAGTAGGGGCATGTCTATTAAACAGTGAGCAGCCTGTGGCTGCTCACTGTTTTAAAAAAAAAAGGGTCCCCACTCCCGATCCCCCATCTGGCCCCCACCCCTGAGCGGTGGGTGGGGGCCATAAAGTAAAATGATGGGGGGGACCTATTGTCCTCCCCCCGGCACCCACCCCTGAGTGGTGGGTGGGGGCCCTACAGTAAAATAAGGTGATGTCCTCCCCCCAGCCCCCACCCCTGAGCGGTGGGTGGGGGCCCTAAATACTAATAAGGGGGGGACCTAATGTCCTCCCCCTGGTCCCCACCCCTGAGCGGTGGGTAGGGGCCCTAAATACTAATAAGGGGGGACCTAATGTCCTCCCCCTGGTCCCCACCCCTGAGCGGCGGGTGGGGGCCCTAAATACTAATAAGGGGGGGACCTAATGTCAGTCTCTTCATTTACCTGTCAGAGCACTCTGATTGGATGGCTTAAACACACCAATCAGAGTACTCTGAGCCTAATTGCAGGACGGGCAAGGCTTCATAAGCCTTTCCCCACCCTGCAGAACGCAGTCTGCGCGGAGCCCTCTCCGGGTGAAAATGGATTTTTTTTTTGCGCTCGTTTTTTTTTAAAGTGAGTTGGTTATTATGGTTTTTTATTTGGCCTTTTTTGGGGCTGAAAAAAGAAGATTTTAGAAGAAAGAAAACATTGAATGGTATTTTTTTTTACAGGTACTTAGTTAAAGGTCCCCCCTCCTTATTTTTAGGGTGAGGGGGGTAGGTAGGGGTTTCATTTTTGGGGGGGGGAGGGGGTGACTAGGGGTTTGGGGACCCCAAGTCACCTGGAGGGTTAACTTTTTTAGGGTCCCCACCCGCCGCTCAGGGGTGGGGGCCAGAGGGGAGGACATTAGGTCCCCCCCTTATTCCAATTTAGGGCCCCCACCTGCCGCTCAGGTGTGGGGGCCAGGGGGGAGGACATTAGGTCCCCCCCTTATTAGTATTTAGGGGCCCCACCCACCACTCAGGGGTGGGGGCCTGGGGGAGGACATTAGGTCCCCCCCCATTATTTTACTTTAGGTCCCCCACCCGCCGCTCAGACCTTTTTTTTGGCTGCTCACTGTTTAATAGACATGCCCCTACTTGCGGTATAGCTGTACTAAGTATTAGTAAATTTGGCCTTTTAGTAGATAGCTCCCTAATACTGTGGGAATTAGGGAGTTATCTACTTATTCATTCCTGTCATTACACTGACTGGCTAAGTAACTTACATTTTATATGAATGTATGTTACTTGATTGTTGTAAGTGTTGCAAATGCTTACAGCTGAATCCTGGCTATGTTTGTATACATTTTATTTAAAATTGTATACAATGTAACATTCTTCTTCTTTCACTGGGTAAGTATATTAGTACTTAGGCAATACTGTGCTTCGGAACTTCAGCACTTTGGAACTTCGGTAATTTCGGAACTTCAGGACCCCCGCAATTCGGCACTTCGGCAATTCGGACATTCGGAAGTACCTGAATGTCCGAATTTCCCGAAATTCGTCCGAATTCACATTCGGACCGAAACGAATTGCACATGTCTATTATTTGTTTGGATATAGAATCCTCAGTTTTGACTAATTACATAATTTACATAATTTCTTCAGTTTTATTTTAATAATACAAAACTTAAAAATAAGAGTTTATAAGTAATAAAAATTATTAATATGGGGTGCGGGGCCGGGCGGCCATGCTAGTAGGCTGCAAGTTACTATGGCTCCTGAGGAATCCAGCTAATCTTGGGGAAAAACCCACCTTACTCAGCCTGGATTACCCTGGAGGTTCGTGGTACATGGTCCTGGAGTTTCCCGGAGCAGCTAGAGCACCTGATATCGGGTGGTTCTGGGTCCTGGTGAGATACTCTGGGGCTTGGGGACTGAGGCCTACCTGGGAGGGGAGTGGGGCGGACGGCCGCTACCTCGCTTACCGTCCCAGCTAATGAGAACCGCAGCAGCAGCAATCCTCAGAAGCAGGCTCAGTGCCTGCCCCAACCAAGCACGCCTTACCAGCGCTTCATATAACTGAACCCACAGACCAACACTGAGGGAGTACCCGGAGAGTTCAACCCCACTCACCAACCCCAGCATACCGCTACCCGCACCTGGACACTGTGGCCTGTGGAGCATTGCACTCGCACTCACGTAACGACTGGGACTGTGGAAATCCGCGGACGCTTTGACCGACAACTGGTCTGCGGGACTCAGCGGGACCCCGGGCTCTGGGTGCCCTATGGGGGTTGTCCCCAAGCCTGGGAACTGGATGCCTCTCAACACCTTTCCCGATGCCGGCACCAAAGGCGACCCCAGCTTCTCGCGAAGGAAGGCATCTGGGGAGCACACCGTGGAACTCAACACCGACAGCCTCAACAGATGCTACCCTGGCGGTTCTTATGTTACACGGACATCTCTGCTATTATTGTTACAGCTAATGTTACAGTAAATATCTGTTTTATTATCCTGATTATTGCAGATGATGACCCAATGTGCCACAATCTGCCTGGTGGCACCTTATTTAAATACCTATCTTAGCTAAGCTAGCATTTCATAAAAGCACCTGTGCATACATATGTTTTCTATATAACATAAATAACCACGCACAGAGTCTCAGGTTCCAAGCAAACTACTTCATATTTGCAACACGATTCAACGTGGTTATTAGCATAATGTTTAGCATGTGTTAGAGGTTACCGTGACGCTCTGTTTAAAATTGACTAGCATAATATAAAGTACTAACAAATCACTCGTCAGTAGCAAGCCTCAAGCCCCTTAAGCATACTAACATCTTGGCACAAAACCTCCTAGGTAGTCAGGGTGTATACCCTACTGTGAAAATGCTTATGAGCTCTCCCCACTGATATTCTTACAGTCTGTCAACCAATTTTCGAAAGGTGCAGTGTTACATCTCTTGATATTGACACTAGTATTTACTAATCTTCTGACTCACTCAGCAATACTCTAACTATAAAAAAAAAATGTGCAGCTTTACTCTTATATCACAGAATGTCAGTTTTGAAAAGTCTGTAAACCCTATTGTGGCATTGCAGCTATGTTTGTACCTCCTTTTGCACAATAAAAATAAAGAATTGAAATATTAAAAATGATTAATAGGGAACAGGGAAATTAAAAGAAGACAAAAAAAAGGCTTGGCTGACAGGAATCAAACAAAACAGTTGCACAATCAGACTTAATGATATCCGAACACACATAGGCTCTATCCCAGATTGCAGACTTTTATTGAAATTAGACACGCAATGTTTTGGCTCAAACAGGAGCCTTCCTCAAGCTTTCTCAGACTAAAGCTTTAAATGAATTTATTTCCTTATACTCAGGACATTTTGTGATTTATGGGTACCTGGTAAGCTTTTCGTAACTTTACTGGGAAATAGACAACATTCTCGTTGTAGGTTTATTTGCATTTCTTCCTAAGAATCTAAAGGTTTTGACAGTAACCAGGCTCAGGTTGCCAATCAGAAAGGGTTTGTCAGATGTACAAGTCAGATAGTTTGCCACTTCTCCTCCGACTACGGACAGTACGACTCAGCTACCTGTAGGAGGTGATGGGGTTCCTTACATAGATGTTACCTTTGGAGTGGACAACATCGCTGTTGGGTTGGCAGGCCTTTAATTAAACGCTAGTCAGTTTGTCAAACCCATGGATTGTCTCCATCCTCACCACCTGACCAAGCTTCAGAGGTGAAAGGCGTTTGGCAGATTTCTCATGGCTTATCTTTCCTTTTAATTTGAGAAAAAAAAAACAGTCTGGATTTCAGTCTCGACTCTTGGCAGGACCTTTGACGGGACCATGGGGTTCAGAGTTGTGCCGGAGAAGGCTTGCCATGCCTGGGTGTGTTGCACAGGTTGTGTATGGCAGCATAAATGGCAGAACCAAACATTTCTCTAGGAGATGCTTAGCTGACCTGACACCATGCTCCACTAGACCATTGGCTCAACAGTAATTGTTTGTGAAATCCTGAAAACCCCACTGTTGAGCAAAGTACTTTAATTGCCTACTTGCAAATTATGCTCTATCTTACGACATATCTATGTTCATGGTATCTATGAAATATCACTTAATTTACAATATATTCCTATAGTTTGTTTACAACTGAAACTTAAGCCTTAATATTATGGGACATTATATTTAAATATTATGACAGATGGGTACAAGATACAAGGAAAAAAAACAAGTTTATCTGAGATTATATGAGGGTTCCTCACCTAGATGTGACTCATCATGAGTTAACATATTTAATATTTTATCTTGAAAACATATTGCTGTTTGTTCATGTTCTTAAAGTGGCATTACTTTAAATATGGCTTTCTAGCAAACAAAATGGCTGTATCAGGTTAAAATTGTCTAACAGCAAGCCATTCACTTAGTGAACTGAATGCCAGGTTGACCTTGATGGAGCTGTGTCATGCAGAATTAATCCATGATCCAATGTCAATTCATCCGCCATAGATTAAAATTGTCGAATGTCATGTGGAACTTCCCTAAATGAGCCAGACCATCCATTGAGGATGGTGTCTGCTAGGAGCTTGCAAGTGGCATCTTCCTGTGTGCTTTGCTTACGTACAACACCCCAACCAGGGCTTAAATGTCATAATCCTCAATAGCCCCTAGGTTATCAGTGGTGGGGAGGTGAGCATGTGAAAGAGCATCCACGACATGCAGTTCATGGCCCTGTTTTTAGATCACAGTTAAAGCATGAGCAACATTCATTGAATGTGTGTCGATGCTCTGTGCAGAAGCGTTCTCAAAATGGTATTGAGCGGATGATGATCCGTGTCCACATTTACTGGGCAACCATAGATATAATCAAGGAATTTTGCACAGCAAAGACTCCCTTTAGTTCTCTTTCAATTTGTGCATAGCGTGCTTCAGTCTAAGTGGGGACTCTTGATGTGAATGCCACAGGCCTGCCATCATGAAGACAGGCTTCACCAAGACCGTGCTGTGAAGCATCAGTAGACATTATGACTGTCCACATGCTTTGATCCTCAACAGCAGCATTTTGTTCAGTCCAACACCAGTCAGCCTCTTGGCGCAGAAACTGATAGATGGAAAATGTTAACTCACTGCAATAAATTAATTTTGAGAGATAATTGATCATGCCAAAAAACCTTTGCAATATATGTTTGTCTTCTGGGGTAGGCATTGGATGGCCTTAGTTTTTTCTGGGTCAGGCTTAGCACCTTATCTGTGAGAAGGTGGCCTACATATGACACCTCTGAGACCCAGAAGCAACATTTAGTCAGGTTGAGTTGCAGATTGATGGTTCTGATATGGTCTACGATGCATTTAAGACTTTTGTTGTGTCCCTCAACAGAAAAGCCCAAAATCAAGATATCATCTCACAAACAGCTGTTCCGTGCTTCTCTGTAAGACTTGACTTCCTGTTGAAATCCCACATGGCATCCATAAGAATTTGTATCGTTCATATGAGGTCTAAATCAGTGACCATTTGGTCTACTGTCTTTAATGGGTGAAGAGATCTCAGGAGAGTCTTATTAAGGTGCACAGGGTCACTGCATATGCATATCGTGTTGTCCTTCTTGACTGCAGCTGCCATGGCAGACACCCCAGGGGAAGCATCCTCCACTGGTGAGTAGAGATGTCGCGAACCGTCCGCGAACTTCTCGTGAACGGTTCGCCACGAACCGTTCGCAGCGAACTCCGGTCAGCTGACACATCCCGGCCAATGTCCAGCAGACCCTCCCTCCCAGACCCTCCTACTTCCTGGACAGCATCCATGTTGAAGGCAGCTTCAACATGGATGCTGTCCAGGAGGTGGGAGGGTCTGGGAGGGAGGGTCTGCTGGAGATTGGCCGGGATGTGTCAGCTGACCGGAGTTCGCCAGGAATGGTTCGCGGTGAACCGCGGCGAACCGTTCGCGAGAAGTTCGCGGACGGTTCGCGACATCTCTACTGGTGAGATGATGCCCAGTTTAGTTATCCTTTCCAACTCTTGGGCTACTTTGTCTTTCATAACCAGTGGGATCCTTCAGGGGGCACACATAGTGGGATGCACTGATTCATCCAGGAACATGTGATACGTGACTTACCAATAGGGTCGGTACGAAATAGGTTCTCGTAATCAGTTATCTCAGGAGCCTGCAGTTGTACAGCATGTATCTCTGGGCTGAGTTGGATGAGATTTAACCAAATGCTGTACGGTAAGCCTAACAGGATTCTAACATTTCTATCCACTATCTGGAATAACAACTTGCCCTTTGAAAGAGCCAGGATAGCAGTGACCAGTGTCTGAATTGTTTGACTGCTGTAAGTTATCAGGTTTACTTTATTTGACTGATCAATTTGGGCATTGGGGTCTCTACACTGCAGTGTGGATGAGGACATGGCATTGCATTTAACACCAGAGTCCGTTTTTAAGTTGGACATTATTACAGGTTGTTGAGAGGGTGGTGAATAGTTTTCCTTTATTTGCAATTATGTCCACATTTTCACAATGAAAACAATCTCGTGATCCTAATTTTCCACTAAATTTATTCTGTGTGCAAATATTTTTTAATTCCGCTAGATGTAGTTATCCATGCACGTGTGAGGATTGGATCTACAGCACTTTGCAAAGTGATTCTGTTTCTTGCATGAGTTACACCGTTTGTTAAAAGCCGGGCACTTGTTGCGTTCCGTAGTGTTCTCACCACCGCAGTTGCTGCCTTTACTTTTATTCTGCTGCATCACAAAGATGTCTGTCTTTCTTTTGAGTTCCTTAGCGTTCCTTTCAGAACGCTCAAACAACATACATATTGTGATGGCTGAATCTATCTAGTGTCAGGTCTTTTTCTGTTTATAACTGTGCACGAACTGCATCATTGTGGATGCCACAAAAAGTTCAGATCTCACAAATGGTGTAGGGAAACCCTGGGAATAAAGTCTGTCTGTTTGGCTTTCGTGTCTTTCTGTCAGAACAGATGGGACAACCGGCACCTCAGTGGGATTCGTGTAAACCAGTAGCTGATAATAGTTCCAGGGGTTTTACGATCAAGTCCCGTTGAGCATTCGATGACAAAAGATGGCAGCCGCCTCGTGTTCAGCATATGAACAGCGACCACCTTAGGATGAGTGATTATATTGCGGTTATCCACAGAAACCACAGTTTAATTAGCGACACACGCCAGACTATAGGTTGTCGTCGTTCGGCAGCTCTTTCGTCAGTTTGTTTGGTACCCCGTTCGACCAATTGTATATGAATGGTGACCACCCTGATGCTAGTCAATAAGGCTGCGGTTAACCACAAACCGCAGCCCGCGGGAGGTTGATTGTCGGCACACTCCTCGCTTAGGGTGGTCGGCCGTTCGCCAGTTCCTTCGGTTGTTTGAGAGGTGAACGGGGTTAATTGGCGGCACACGACAAGGGCCGGGTGGTTGGCTATTCGTACATGCGAATGGATGGCAAGGCTTGTTCGTACAAACACTTATAGAAAAGTATCCATGCAGTAACAAAAGTAGCAATATTATAAAAGTATCCATTGCAGTGACAAACGTCTTTGGTCTCTGTAACAGCACCAAAATCACGTTTTCTTATCCAGCAGTCTCAACGTGGCCACAAAGGATCAAATTCATTCATCAGGTTTTTGAGCCATCATGTAGAATTAACTTCTATTATCACATTCCATTCAGGTAAGCATATCCCATCAAATTTCTTGATTAACATGTCAGGATCCTCTTCGTCCTCACCCTCTTATAAGTGAAATTACTCATATTTATCTAGTGCATCTGAACCAGACACATTAAGAAAAGTGCAAGCTTGTACCTTTTTTTATTTGTCTGGAAGTCCTGCTTTGCTGTACACTTCCATTTTTCTCTTGAATTTCTGCCAGTTGTTAGCAATGCCATCATCAAAGACAAGCGGTTCTATGTGCCGTGGATTTTGAGCCATGCTTTAGTGATCTCACTTCTGTTACCATGTAGATTTGCACAAGCAATGATGTAGTCACCAGATAAACTTTGGGATGAACTGATTTATTGTCATTGCTTACAGTGAGCCAAAATGTCTGCCTTCTAGTTTCAATATCCTTTCATACATCTGATCTCTGCCCCCATGTCCGTACGTCTAATGTATATGTGCAATACACACATGTAATATACTCTTCAAGAAAGGTGGAATATCAAACTACAGCCCGCATGCCGAATCTGGCCCGCCAGGGTCCTGAACCTGGCCCAAGCATTTAGGGCCACCCGATGGGCCCTATATCTTCAGGGGCCCGGTCAGCACTGCGGCCGTGCAGTAGCGTGACCGGGCCCCTTTAAAACAATTTCAGCAGCAAAGTACTGCTGGGAGGAAGTGACGGACGGTCACTTCCTCCCAGCTCCCTCCACATGGGAGGGAAGAAAAACAGGCGAGGACGGGAGAGCCACGCCGACTCCCATCATCCACAATCCTGCAAAAAAAGTAAGAACATTTTGCTGTGTTTGTGTGTATGTCATTATGTGTATGTATCTGTGTGTATGTATGTGTTTCTATGTGTTTCCATGTATGTATGTCTGTATGTATGTCTATCTGTGTGTATGTATGTGTTTGTTTGTATGTCAGTGTGTGTGTATGTCTGTCTGTCTGTATGTATTTGTGTCTGTATGTATGTGTGTATGTATGTATGTCATTGTGTGTCTGTATGCCTGTCTGTGTGTGTGTATGTCTGTACGTACGTGTGTGTATGTATGTATGTATCTGTATGTATGTCTGTAAGTGTGTGTATGTATGTATCTGTATGTATGTCTGTAAGTGTGTGTATCTGTATTGTGATCCTTGTCTGCAGGTAGCACGGTCTTGTTGGGCACAAACATGCACAGTCTTTTAAAAGTAACTTAATTCCAGGCACTTTATTGTCGAACTTCACCAAAGATGCAGCAGCAAATGAAAAACAAAAAACAATAATGTAACACAAATCCCTATAAACAAAAGCCTAGCTCATCTGAGCACTAACTAACATCAGCTATAACAAAATAATATTGGTTTCACCAACCTAGTGTCTGTGTCAGCTTTCTGCACTCCAGTGTTTAGTCAGCCTGCTGCTTCCAGCCCTTCAAGAGAGAAACAAACATTCTCCCCATAGGCGTGCGCAGCCTATTGCATTAGGGTGTGCACCCTAAAGCACAAACACACACCGCATGTATATATGTATGTATGTGTGTGTGTATATATAAATATTTATACACACACACATACATACACTGCTGTGTGTAAGGGTGCTATGTGTGTGTGTGTAAGGGTGCTGTGAGTGTGTGTTTGTGTGTAAGGGTGCTGTGAGTGTGATGTGTGTGTGAGGGTGCTGTTTGTGTGCTGTATGTGTGAGGGTGTTTGTGTGTGTTTGTTAGGGTCCTGTTAGTGTGCTGTGTGTGTGAGGGTGCTGTGTGTGTTTGTGAGGGTGCTGTTTCTGTGCTGTGTGTTTGAGGGTGCTGTATGTGTGTGGGTGCTGTATGTGCAAGGGTGCTGTATGTGTGTGGGTGTTGTGTGTGTGTGGATGCTGTATGTGTGAAGGTGCTGTGTGTGAGGGTGCTGTATGTGTGTGTGGTGTATGCAGGGCCAGATTAAGAGCCCAGTGGGCCTGGTGCTGACAATTATGATGGGCCTAGTTACAAATTTTGCTGGAGGGAAACTCATAGGATGCTGCTATGAGAAAACACATACCAACGCTTTCATCTTTCAAGTAAACCCATACCCCCTAACAGCAGTGCCCAGTAAAGCAGGAAGTCTATGGACGGGGCAAAAGGGTGGGCCACTGACACAAATCACATAACCAGAACTGCCGAAAGAGGCAAACATACACAAAAAGGGGGCTTGCCTGTGTCCCCATGTCTCCCAGTCCCTTAGTGTCTGTGTCCCCATGTCTCCCAGTGTCCCTATGTCACTAGGACACTAGGGGACATTGAGAGACATTGGGACACTGAGAGACCTGGGGACACTGAGACTCTTGGGGAAACTGGGAGACATGGGGACACTGGGTAACTTTGAGACATGAGAGGACACTGGGAGACATGGGGCACTGAGACACTGTGATACATAGGGGACACTGATATATAGGGGACACTGGAGACTTAATAAAGACCTGGGTACAGGTCAAAATGTTGTGGTGTCCAATAAACCCGCTTAAATCTATCACAGTGAGTGTCTGAGATTCTTTTCTTTTATAGTAGGGGACACTGAGACACTTGGGGGCGCTGTGAGACATGGGGACACTGGGAGACTAGGAGACACTGAGGACACTGAAACACACCAGGGATACTGGGAGACATGGGGCACTGAAACACTCTGATACACAGGGGACACTGTGATACATAAGGCACACTGGAGACTTGATAAAGACCTGGTTACAGGTTGAAACGTTGCGGTGTAAAATAAATCTGCTTAAATCTATCACCGCGTAATAATAACTACCTATTTCCAGAGCTAGAAGACTCTGAATGTCGGTGTTAGCTGGAAAGGAACACAAGATGAGGAAATGTATGCTCTTTGATAGAACGCTGCACACCACTTATTTTAATGGTCAGATAGCAAATCCAAAGCCAACTGGCTATACCTCTACCTACTCAGAAAAATAGATGATATATGCAGAAATAGATAAAGAATATAAAGTCGTCCAATTGTCCTAATCTCTGACTTTATTGAGTGAGGTCTCTATCAGGAGTTGGATTTTCTTATATCACACTGAGTAGGTGTCTAGGATACAGGGAGCAGATGGCTGATGTCATTGATTCTACAATATCATAATATAGAACTAGTAGAAGGTTGTTTGTAATTACAAATTGTTGCAATCTCTCTTCTCCTAATTTTGGTTAATGCAATTCAATATAGGAGTCAGTTTGAGTGAAGAAACTGAGCCAGATAGCTGTCAGGTTAGGGCTTCTGTATTATCACAGTGTTGCAATATTGTTGCAAAACGGAGAGAGCATAAAGAGGATACTAATTAGCTACAGTTGCTTTAACCCTCAGTTGTATGGGGTTGGTAACTTGTCTCAAATTGCAGCCCCTATCCACTGCTCATATCTAATGCCTGTCTTGAATAAACTTGAAGAATTAAAAAATAAGTGAAAAATCTCTCTGTGAACTAGAAATGATTGAGTAGTTATTAACTCATTAGGTATTCACAGGCAGAATAGAGACAGGAGTAGACATATAACAGCTTCACTCTGATTTCTCACTAGACTTAAATCTATCACAGTGAGTGCCTGAGATTTTTTTTTATACTATGTGACACTAGGAGACATGGGGACACTAGGGGACATTGGGACACTGGGACACTGGGAGACTAGGGGACTTTGGGAGACTAGGAAACACTGAGACACTGCGGACACTGCGGACACTGAGAGACACCAGGGACATGGAGACAAGGAGATACTGAGATACTAGAGACCCTGGCTGGAAGTGCCCCATGTCTCCCA